CCAGCGCGGGTGCAAGCGTGGGTATGGGGCGGGGCGGCGGTGCGGGGCGGTTGCCAGGAAGAGGAGGGGGTGGGGGGGGGGCTATCTTAGAGACGAACATCTGCAGCCCAGATAATCCTTTGGCTTACCCAAACTACCCCTCGTAATGTATTCATACTCTTTAGGGGTTAGGGTTTACGGATTAGGGTTTAGGGTTTACGGCCGCTAGAGACGTCTGCAACTCAGGCAGCAACTCTCTACACCCAAGCTACCCCCGATGACTCAGTCACCCTCCTCAGGGTTAACGGTCTGCAGCAGCAGCAGCAGCAACAGCAGCAGCACCAGCTGCAGCAACAGCTGCAGCAACAGCTGCAGCAACAGCAGCAACGTGCTGCGCACCGCGCGGGGAGAAGTGTGCTTCTTGCAGCATTCCGTAGCAACCCCAATGCGTCTAACGACGTCTTTGTCTACTGTGTTTGCCTTTTGTTTTGGCTTATGTTATTCTTTTTTCTGTTTATTCATTCATTTATTCATTTACGTAATAAGTACACGCCCCGTGGCCTTCGTTCCCCTACAAGCACATCCGTAAACCCTAAACCCTAAACCCTAAACCCCGCTGTTTATATGTTTATATTTTCTTTCTGAGAACCCACGCCTATATGGGCCGTCACACCGCCAAGTCTGCCCACCCCCACACCCAAACAAGCTTTAAAAACACCGCAACTGCCCCAACACATTCTCTGCGCCCCCGGGGGCCCCCAGGGCCCCCCTTAAGACTTTGTGAGGGCCTCCAGGGGCCCCCAGAAGGTCTTGGGGCCCCCTAATGGCTTCTGGAGCTCCTGGGGGCCCCTTGGGAACCCCAAAGGATTCCTAGGGCCCCGCGCGCGAATCCTCTTAGGGCCCCTCGGGCAGTATTAACAGACCCAAGGGAATCCTAGGGCCCCTATGGTTCCTGTAGGGGCCCCTGCCGACATTTTCAAGGCCCCCAAGGCCCCCCAGATGCATGCGGGGGTCCATGCAGTTTCGTTAGGACCCATGAGGACGCTTGTGGGCCCCCTGTATAGTTGTAAGGGCCCCCAAACCGCCATAGGGGGGCCCCTGAAGAGCTCCAGGGGCCCCTNGGCCCCCTGTATAGTTGTAAGGGCCCCCAAACCGCCATAGGGGGGCCCCTGAAGAGCTCCAGGGGCCCCTACAGCACTCGAGGGGCCCCTAACGAACTCTAGGGGCCCCTTGTGACGCTGTGAAAGGGCTCGTATAGACGGGTTGGTGGAGGCGTTGGTTGTGAATACAGCTGGCAGTGTTGCAGGAGCATACTGTCGTTATAGAGAAGGCCGATGTGTTGTTGTTACTCAGCTTAGAGGGGTTAAGGGCCCCCTAAGCCCCTAACCCCACTACACTGTTGGGGATATAAAGGGGGGCCCCGGGCTCCCCCTATGGTGGGGGGCCCCGGGGGCCCCTTGGGGGGGCCCCGGGCCCCCCTAAGCCTCCAACAGAGTAGAAGGGAAAGAAGCAACTTTTGTGTTTTTCTGAATGGTTTGTCCCTCCTTCATATAACTAACTCTGCACTTTATAAGTAAAGGCTTGCTGCCGTCATGCGGGCTTGTAGGGCTTCCTGCTGCTGCTGCTGCTGCTGCTGGGGAGGAGCTGACACGGAGGCGCTGCAGCACCGGGGGGGCCCCTGGCAGCACATCTGTTGCTGATGGGGGCTCTACCTGAAGCTGTAGGTATTTGGGTACAGCAGCCTCGAAGCGGAACTGCTGCAGCAGCTTGCTGCTTGCTGCAGCAGCAAACTCAGCTGTCACCTCACACACCCCCTGCCCTGCTCTTCTGCCTCTTAGGAGGACTCTTAACCCTTCTTCGTTTAATACTTCTACTGCAGCAACACCATCTGGCCCCACTGTTGCTGCTGCTGTTCCTGCTGCACCTGCTGCTGCTGCTGCTGCTGCTGCTGGGGAAGGCGGGCTCACTGCTGCGCTCAATGCTACCCCTAGAGGGGAAGAAGAAACGTCTCCCGATCCTGCTGCTGGAGATGCTGCTGCTGCTGCTGGTGCTGCTGCACCTGCTGCTGCTGCTGCTGTAGGGCTAAGCGGGCGGAGTGATGACTCCAACAAAGAACACAGAGGCTCCCCTGAGTTCTTGCTGCCCGGAGGGGAGATTGCTGCTGCTGTTGCTGCTGCTGCTGCAGGTGTTGCTGCTGCTGCTGTCACAGGGTTCGCGAGGTCAATCAAGCCAGCAAACGGGTCTGCACCTGTTGTAGNGTTGCTGCTGCTGCTGTCACAGGGTTCGCGAGGTCAATCAAGCCAGCAAACGGGTCTGCACCTGTTGTAGGGGCCCCTGTTGTTGCTGGTGCTGCTGCTGGTACTGCTGCTGCTGTTGCTGCTGCTGCCCCTTGCTGCTCTGCTGCTTTGTGGTTGCCCGTAGGAGAGGAGACGGCGGCGCCCGCCAGCAAGTCCGCCAGCAGATCCAAACCCCCGCCGCCGCTGCTGCTGCTGCTGCTGCTGCTGCTGCTGCTGCTGGCAGCAACGGGATGAGGAGATGCCGTGGGGGCAGCTGGAGACGCCGCGAGGCCAAGGAGGTCATCTAGCTCCAGCAGTTGAGCTGCAGAGAAAAAAAAATAAAAAAAGTAAAAAAATATATTAAAATAAAAAGACAGACAAATAGATAAATACAAAAGACAAATATATACATACAGACAGTGAAATAAACAAAGACATATAGATATACGAAGATAGATACATCGATAAACACAAACAAATAGAGACAAAAATATAAAAAATAAAAACAAATA